CCACCAGGTACTGCTTTTGATCAGAACCATAATTTCTGGAAGATTTCATTGTTTTCAAAGGTTTAATGAGGTGCCATGGCTGGCACTTATATGTAACATATTTTCTCCTGGAGAATGTCTTGTTGCATACATATCTGTTACCTTTTGTGTGTAAAACAGCTCTGGGAAGAGCAGAGAAGGGGGAGAGAGAAGAGGAAGGAACTTTGATCCTTTATTTTTACCCAGATTTTTCCTCCATGTTCATTGGGGAATTATCTTGTGATTGTGTTGCCCACACACAAATATGTATACTGGTGTATGTTCTCAGTTTCATGCTTTGTATCCAACAATTATGAGCAGGATTGGCTCTTTCATTAAACAAAATGAGGCAGCTGCTTTGGGCAGCAAGTGCTGGTTTTCATGAAAGGGCAGCAAGTTGTTAGCTGCTCAAACTAACAGTATTGATATTTTGGCAAGTAGCCCCAAGCACTACAATAACTTAGATGGCTTTGAGTGTTGGACAGGTTGACTTGGGTTGATAGAGAGTGAGGTCTCTAAAATCTAAAAACATGTTAATAACAAATGCATACTTATACATTTTTAAAGAAATGTATAAGAATGTGTTCCTGACATTGAAATATAATCTCAGATAGTGCAAAATACAATATTGATATTTCAGTGATGATCTCATTTGGCATCCAGACTAAAGATGGGAAAACATAAAAAATGGAAAAATTAGGGACCCCCCTTTTTTTCCCCCAAAGCCTTTTTTCTGGAAAAATTGAAAAGTGTGTAGAATATGTTATTTTCCAATGAGAAATAATATATCTATGTCATGGTATTCAAACTACCATATATACCTGAGTATAAGCCAAGTTTTGGCACATTTTTAATATTGAAAAAGTCCCCCTCGGCTTAAACTCGAGTGAAGGTCCTGGCGGGAAAGTGTGGGGATGAAAGAAGCCCTTTGCAGGCTTCTACCAGCTGTGCATCTCCTCCCCTTTCAGCACAGCAACCCAGCTGAATCTCTGCCAAGAGAGGAGGAGAGGAAGGTGCACGGCCTCTCCTCTCGGCACAGCAACCCAGCTGGATCGCTGTGCCAAGAAGGGAGGAGAGGAAAGTGCATGGCTCATCAGCCATGAACCTTCCCGCCAGGCCAAGCTTGGCCTCTTTTCTCAGGTTGCTGTGCCGAGAGGAGAGAAGAAGCTGAATGCCTCAATTAATGTAATTTTATTGGTATCTATTTTTATTTTGAAATTTATCAGTAGCTGCTGCATTTCCCACTCTAGGCTTATACTCAATTCAATACATTTTCCCAGTTTTTTGTGGTAAAATTAGGTGCCTCGGCTAATATTTGGGTTGGCTTATACTCAAGTATATACGGTATATAGCATGAAGACCTTAATGAGAGATTTCTGAGACTTTTTGTTTCTACACACTTTTTTTTCTTTTTTTCTGAGGGAAAAATGCCTTTGGGACAAAATGGAAAAAAACTCCTGTTCCCCCCCCCCCCCAATTTTTCTGTTTTTTTTCTCCAGGCATTCTCATCTCTATTCCAGACATACAGAGATATTGTCATTCCATGCTTTCACACATTCCTTCTGTAGTTCTCTGTTTAAATGTATCACAATTTGCTTTTCAGGCTGCAGTTGAGAAACAGCAGAATTACAAAGCATTTAAAAAACTCAACACAGTTTAATTTTGCCAAATTCACTTCCCTCCTGCACTCTTCTGCTGTTCTGTCAAAAAAAAACCCTGTTCTTGGTAATAGGTAGATTTTCAGGAATAGTATGAGAGTGATGGCACTGTGCAGACTGCAGGGTAAGAGAGGAAATTAGTTATTCCATTAGGTAGGATATCATGGGAATTGCAGTCTTATGGTCTTGAAAGGCTCCCTTCAAAATATCTGTTTCTGAAGAGGGGCAGTGTTCCTAATGCTATTTCCTTTCTCTCTCCTGCCATCAAGGACATATCACAATTGTTAACTACCTTCTGAACTACTATCCTGGATTGGAGCTTGAAATGCGAGACTACAGAGGTCTGACTGCCCTCATGAAGGCCGCGGTACAAGGGAGGAACGAATGTGTCGCAGCCTTGCTCTTGGCAGGTATAATTGCTTCTCTTCAGTCTGTTCAGTATTTAATTCTTTCATTCGTCTTAATTTTATCTACCGTAATCACTTTGTCCCAGCATCTCATGTAACACTGTAAGAAGCAGGAGTGGAAATCAGTGTTGTGGTGGCGCATCACTGTCCACAAAAGCCTATGCCATAACAAATATGTTAGTTTTGAAGATGTCCATGGGGGTTCCTGGTCGTTTGATGGACTGGCTCTTCCTTTTTCTTCAGCTTACCTGGCAGTGGCCACAAATATCTATCTGCAATTTTAATTTTCCACAATACCCAATAGTTATGCTTTGTCAGAAGCATTGTGGTAATCACAGCCATTCAGTAATGTTCAGAGCTCCATCATAGAGTGCTACAGCCCAAAGGTATCAGGTCCAAAAAAAACCCAAAATCTCTAGCTATGTATGTCTAACCAATATAAACAAATCCAAAGTCACACTGAACTGTTGTTATTCTAGAATTTCCCTCACTAGACATTTCTTAAAATGCCTGTATGTGTTTAAAGCACTGCAAGGGATTAATCAAGCCCAGCATTCAGAAAAGAGCCCTAGATAATCAGTGGGCTTTTCACTCTCATCTTCTCAGCACTGAATAATTCACATTAGACTTCTGATAAGGCCTATCACAGTTTGGACTAAGTCCAGTTGACAGGCCCCTCCAGCATCCAGCTCTAGATCCTTATTCTTGATCTGTCTGGCTCAATGGATTAACTACTGACATCTGCTGGCAGTTTTGACACACAACACTGCTTAGTCTTTTGTTACCAAATCCAATACCATTATTGTCCAATGTCCAGCAACTTCCTCCTCCATCACTACCCACATCCAATGACAGTCAGTGGAGGGAAGTCCATGTGTTATTTTCAACATGACATTATAAGACTTGTGAATACATTTATTTCACTCCAAATAGTTGACATCAAGAGGGGAGAACGAATAATCAAAATCAATACCATGAGGAAGGTCAGGCTCACCCAGTCATGGCTTCCACCATATCTGCAGAGTGGCAAATTCATTCTGGGGGCCCTTCCACACAGCCATATAACCCAGAATATCAAGGTGGATAATCCCACAATATCTGCTTTGAACTGGGTTAACTGAGTCCACCCTGCCATATATTCCAGTTCAAAGCAGAAAATTTGGGATTTTATTCAGCTGTGTGGAAGGAGCCTAGGTTTCAGTCTAAATTTTCATGAGGTTCCAAACTCTGTTCCTCAAAATAAGTACAGTACTTTGCATAGTTCCTTTTAAATTTGGACTGAATTGCCGAGACAATGAAACGTACGCTTCTATGTCAGCTACTGCAATGGATTGTGATGATTCCCATGCTAGATAGTTGTGGGAGAAGGAAAATGTTTTCTTTCTGTCCAGACATCAATACAAGAATTTATGAACTGCAGGCTCTACTGGCAAATCTGGTGGTTCCTGCCTATCTAAAGACCTACTTATTTATCTTCAAATTCTACTTCCACCTTCAAGCTCCTTTAGGCATATATACAGGTTCCTCAAAATACACATCAAGTGAAGTCTATGTTGGGGCAAAAGAAGCCTACTGCCATATTAACAGCAACCTTAATGAAGAAGCAGTTAAGTGGTGGTCATTATGAAAGGCATTATGTAGATCAGGTGTTTAAGCCAGAGCATATAACCTTTTGGACTGCAAAGGCATTATGGCATTATGTCAGGGAAATCAAACCATGTTGGATTTCTAATAACTTGTGATTTCTCCTAGGAGCTGACCTGGCTGCTGTGGACCCAATTAAAGGAAAAACCGCACGAGAATGGGCAGCCCTGACTGGACGCTTTGAAACTATCATCCGGATTCGAACCCTCCTCGAACGTCCGTGTGCTGAGCAATTCTCTAAGAAGTACTTGCCAGAATGGCCTGCTTTGCCTATGCTGGTGGCAGAAACATTGGGTTTATCCAGAACCAAGCGCCTGACTAATAAAATCCGTTCGACATTCACTATCAATTTTCCACATGACCCTGAGCCAGATGGTGTGATGGATCACATGGTGCGCATGACCACTTGCTTGGCTAGCCCTTTTGTGGGCACAGCTTGCCAAACGGTCTGTCCTGACAGCCCACCAGAAGTGGGCAAGCAAAGACTCTCAGTACCAGAGATCCTCAAGGAGTACAAACCAGATCCTGATGCCAAATCCATGGCCAGTGCATCATCCTGCAATGGTCAGCTCATGACGCCGACACGAGTTCTGATACCATACCAGCAACCCAGTACTCTGGTGAAGATCCTGTCAATTCCCTTGCGCCTGCGCCGCAACACCATTTTCCCTGATGGCATCCCAAAAATTGAACTCACCAAGTCGCCTGGACAGTCAGCTCCCAAAGAGAAAAAAATAAAGCCCGACAAGAACAGGCTGGAGTTGCCCAAGTGGCGATACAAGGAGCTGAAGGAGGAGAAGAAGAAAGCATTGGAAGAAGCTGGGAAACCTAAAAAAAGCAAGGGAAAAAGCAAAAGCAAAAGAAAGAAGTAATAGTAGTCATTGGGGGAAATGTAGTGGTGAGGAGGGAAGAAACTCCCACTAGGGTGCTGAAATTTTGCCCCTGCCAATTGTATCAAGTTAGTATTACTCACAAACAATTCTTTATCATGTCTCGGCCAGGCTAAACAGCTAACTATATGAGATGTTATACCATTGGAAACTGGTAGTGATTCTGCTCGGGGTTTTAGTCTGAGGTTTAAATGCACCATCCAAGGCCCTGAATTTCACCCTCAAAAATGTTCAGCACCTTGGACAGGTAATTTAACATTTGAGCCAAGCTGGGTTCAGTACTTTGGACAGCTTCTTCAGAGCTTAGATCAACCAAAGAAGTGGATTCACCACTCCATGGACAAGGAAGCTACCACTGGGTTACATGTAACCTGAGTAACAGGGTCGCTGATGTTCCAGGGAGATGAAATATGGAAACATATACTTAGCAGAGTTGTAGATCAGGTGTTTAAGCCAGAGCATATAACCTTTTGGACTGCAACCGCAAGAATCTCCCAGCCAGTGCAAAACCATGCTGACTGGAGGATTCTGGGAGTTGTAACCCCACTACATACTTTTCCAAACTGTGATTAACACCCTACCCTGCTTTTCTGCTCCAAATTCCCTTTCTCTCCTTGCTTTAACCCCCCAAAAGGTTTAATGTGCGTATTTGGCCCATGGATATGTTCTGGACCTGCAAAACCTCTTTGGAGACCCACCAAAATGGACTGGAATGAGTTGGAAAATTCATCAAAATGTGCTGACACGTTTCCTTTCACTTCTCTGCTCTAAATTCCTTCTTTGAACTATGATTTGTTTGAAAAGCACCAGGGCACCACTTTGATGTGATGTGTAGTTTACCACTAAGACACTAGGATCCTCTTCACACAGCTCTTTTTGGCTGTGCCGTTGAGACAGCAATTGCTGGTGAAAGGGAAGGCATGTGGAGTGGCTCGTGGCCCTTCGTGCACCCTCCCCGCTTCCCCCATCACATGGTGGTGATGGGACAGGGTGCAGTCCATGTCCCCATTAGATGGGAGAAAGGGCAGCAATGCATGTTGCCCCACCATACTTTCCTCCGTCATTTTGACACTTCCACCCCACTTTGGGAGGATTGTGGGTGGGGCCTGCCATGCATTGTGTAATGGCACACGGTGGGCCCCGTTTTTGCCATGTGAAGAGGTGGTAATTCTTTCAGTGGCTTCCACAAGTAGTTCTTGCATCCTCTGTTAGTGTGAAATGTGGATGTAGCAATGAAAGGGTTAATAGAAATGTGTTTGCCACTTAATTTATTGTTATTGAGTTCAATATCTGAGTGACAACTCACTAAGTGTTGTTAATTTAGTTCTACTAATTCAGTGGCTCTCAACCTGGGGTCCCCAGATGTTTTTGGCCTTCAATTCCCAGAAATCCTAACAGCTGGTAAACTGGCTAGGATTTCTGGGAGTTGTAGGCCAAAAACATCTGGGGACCCCAGGTTGAGAACCACTGTGTAACTAATTTCCATACATCTGGACAGACACATTCATTGAGGAGTTGATTTGGCTTGGAAGTGCCCTTATCACATCTACTACAAATTATTAGGCCAAGTTTGGAGAGGGGATCATTATCAGGAAAAATCTGCTGCGAAGGTCAATTGGCTAGCATCTGTGCCATTACAAAAACATTCTTCCCCTGTCTCCAGATTACTTTTGTCATTATTATGTACATAGATTTTGCACAATGAACATTATCAAGTTGGGAAGAAGCTGAGTTCACACTGTTGATAAAAGAACCCCTATGACTTTTCTTTGAATACTGCTGTCTTCACCCCCTTATCTAAACCCAACTGTTTTTTGCCTTCACATAATATGTGCTGTTGTCATATAGTTCCAATACTCAAATCTTACTACTGCTGTGTCAGCACTTCTGTCTTACACCTTTGTCATACTTGTTCTGTACTATGGCATTGTTTTACATCCTTGGTAGGAAAATTGCTTTTTAAAAAATCCTAGAGAAGGGCAATTTCAGAACAGTGGCCCTAGGGAACAGATGCTGCACAGCCAGTAACATTTTTAATTAATAGGAATGTTTGTAAACATCGATATGTTTCCTCTTCCACCCCAAGGATGTGTGCTCATGGAAACTTCCCCTGCCTGTAGTACCATGCCAGTGCTTTTAGAACCAAGCGGAAAGTACCTGAAATTCATATTCAAAAAGATGGCACACACAAAATCCATTGATGATGTCACACCACAGAGACCGAGGCAGCCCATCCTGTTTCTACAGTTGTCCCCATGATGCAACACAGTTGTGTTGCAGCCAGCCATTAGGTGAAATCCACATGGAGTGCATTTATTGCCCTACTGACATGGTGGCTTCCATGTCAGTAGGGCAATAAATCCATTCCATGTTTTAATCTGGATTTAAAGGAGCAGTCCAGTGCACTGAACCTGTTTTGGGGATGGGATTCAGCACCTTGATCAGCTTTTAAAAAAATTATTATAGCCTGAACTGAATTCATTCTCACCATCATACAGTCCATCAGCCTCCACTAATCTAGCCCCCTTTTCCAATCATAGTTGTTATTTTAAAATAAAATTCAAACTCTTTACATCAATGGTTCTCAACCAGATGTTTTGGCCTACAACTCCCAGAAATCCTGACAGCTGGTAAACTGGTTGGGATTTCTGGGAGTTGTAGGCCAAACTCATAGGGACCCACAGGTTGAGAACCAGTCAGTGCAGGGGTTAATCAGGAAGTTTTGCTGCCTGAAGCAGAGGAGGGAACAGTGCCATCGCCACATCCAGCCTCTGGTCCTGAGTCACATACATTCAGCCAAGTTATTTTAACACATGGAACAGAAAATCTCACAAGAACCTCTCCCCACATCTGTTAGTTAAAATAAAATAAATACAGACTAAATTATTGATCTTTTACTGTTCCTTATGTCACTCAAATCTGCTGCCTCACTACTCCTAACAGTAGGGCTGGCCTTTGTTTACTATAATATATATCCTGCCTTGGAAAGAGTTCGTACCTAACACTACACACCTGTGACATCTGACCATATCAGTGAGTATGATCACTTTACAGCATTGAAAGGCAGATTTGCTCCCTTTATGGCTACGTTAACCAATACATATTCTACAGATATATAAACCCCACTTGCCTAGTTTCAAACAGACCCCTCAACCTCGGAGGATGCCTGCTATAGATGTGGGTGAAACGTCAGGAGAAAATGCTTCTGGAACATGGCCATACAACCCAGAAAACTCACAGCAACCCAATACATGTTTCGTGGGCTAATACAATGTGTGGACAGTCAAGACTTTAAGGCTAATGTAGCCTTTGCTAGAGCTGCTAGGAACTGAACTTTATGTTTCTGATGAACCGAAGGGTTTTGCCTGTTTTCTTCCTGATGGTATGATCTTCCTCTTGTAGCAATAGCTACATACTTTTCATGAAAAAATGGTTCAATAAAACATTTTTCCATAGTGATTAGAATTGTGTGTTAACCTTCACAAGTTTTCTCAAAGGAATAGACTGGTTTCTAATCAGCCCTAGTCTCCTGTGTTCCATTTCTCTCTGTCTCTACAACACAACTCAGTGGGAATACTCCAAGGTGTAGTTACACAGTGCTGCAATCACAACAAAACACAAAGTCCCAATCCTGTTATATATGCCAAGCTGCATCATTTCAAAAAACAAAACAGCATTTCAGTTATCTCCAAGCGACTATTAACAGTGCTATGAAAACAGTCAAGCAAACACTTTACTCTTGTGGGAGTAAATGAAACAATTGTCACAGTCCCCTGAGACATCTTTGCATCTGTACAAAAAGTCTTTAGCATTCAGGCACTATATCCAAAAACAGCTAAATCTAAAAGAAACATCAACCAGTTTTTCAGCACTCATACAGATACAGAGTTGTTTCTCCACTTTTAGAAGCAGTCATGAGAGTATAATAGTTGTGTCCAACCTACCTATGTATATATTTCTGCAGCACACAAGTTATATATAAAAGAGTCATATCTTTTTGATACCTAAAGAATTATTGTATGAGAAAACTGGGGGCCCTTCCACACAGTCCTATATCCCAGAATATCAAGCAGAAAATCCCCCAATATCTGCTTTGAACTGGGTTATCTGAGTCCACACTCAGGGCCCTTCCACACAGCCCTATATCCCAGAATATGAAGGCAGAAAATTCCACATTATCTGAGTGTGGACTCAGATAACACAGCTCATAGAACATAAGAGAGAAAGGTTTGAATCCCCACTTGACCATGGAAACCTACTGGGTGACCTCAGATACTGAGGAAAAGGTAAGTCACACTCTCTCAGCCTCAGAGAAAGGTAAAGGATACTGCAAGTGGCTTCCTCACCAAATTTTTCATTTAGAATCGGCAAAAATGCATCCACTTTAAAGTATTTAAACTTGGAATTCAGTATTTTGTAATCAAGGCAATTTTCTGGGTGGCAATACAAGTCTCGTGTTGACTGGCAAAGTGCCTTTGAGAAGTGATTGACAATAGCCCATGGGGCATATGTATGGGGCCCCTTCCACACAGCCATATAACCCAGAACATTAAGGCAGAAAATCCCACAATATTTGCTTTGAACTGGGATATCAGAGTCCACACTACCATATATTCCAGTTCAAAGCAGATAATGTGTAGAAGGGGCCTGGTAATGCTGGTGACACATTAGTAATGCCATTGTCTGGTGGAACTGCCATTGTGTTTAATACACCACATCAACCATTCTGCATCTGAACATTTTATAGAACATGCTTCTTATAGACTAAAAACTGGTTCAGACGCCGAGATCTCAGCACAAAAACAATCCTGTGGCTTATCAAATCATGTAAGAGTTGTGTGCTTCTGTTCCCTATTATCCCAACTTCTTTCTTTACTTACCAAGCTTAACAAATACACATTGATTTCATAAACCATAATAAATTATTACAGCCTCACTGGGGACCTGTTACAAAAGACCTCCTAAACCAGAGCCATATCTACACAGAGTGAGGACCTCATCACATTATATTAGGGAAGCGTCCTAGGATGCTTCCTCAATGGATCCCAATGGAGCCTATCATATGGCACAAGGCTACTTCCAGTGGGGTTGCAAAGGAAGTATCCTGGAAACTTGCTGTGTTCTCATTAGTAGAAATGGGGGAAGCCAGCCAGCAATGCTTTCCACTGTGTAATGGGGAAAGTGGCACAGTGGATGATGCAGGGCATGGGCCAACGGTTTCCCTCGCTGTCCCACAGATTCGCCACGCTGCCTGGCTAATTCCTCCGCTGTCGCTTGGCTTCAGGACCTCAGTGTGATGGGGTCCTTAGAGACGGCTGATTACTGGAGGACTTTTAAAAGTAAATAATTCATCAGTTTTATATGCTGGAACAAATACAAACACATGATTATAAAAGAAAATGAACATATTAAGCAAAAGAAATAATTTTCTGTATAATGTCCATATTCCATCGCAGTTTCCTAAAATTCCTGGTGCTTTTGAAAAACAAAATCAGCTCTTGAGAACAGGTGTCGTCTTTCCTCCCACTGCTCAGGTTATATCATTGAGTTATTTAATCGGTAGAGTTGCTGTGGAAGCATGAAATGCAAAAGAGGACTCTCTGAAAGCAGTCTTTGTCCTGCTTTGTATTTCATCTCCAGGCTCCGTGCGGCTGTCTTCCTTATCTGACTTCTCCAGCACAGCTTGCATATGGGATGGGGGCGTGCAGACAGCACACGGATGCAGGAAACATCTACTCAGTCTGTACACGCTGTCCTAGTTTGTCTTTAGCGTCTGGTAAGGAAGAGGAAGAAAGAGGGGAGCTGAGGATGGGGTTGATTGGGAGGATAAGAGAATTGGGGGGGGGGGGCACAAACTAGAGGTCATGATGATAAGACTTATGTTTTGAAATATTTGCACATAAGCGAGTGAATGAAGAGCTTGCTTTAGCCAAAAAGGCACACAATCCTGAAATAAGGTGCAATGGATCTTAGCTCCCTCCTTCTATGCATTACTTTATTGCTGAAATAAGATACATATCATGTAACTGTCAATTTTATGTATGAACAAGGCAAAAAAATGACAGCACATCTACTTTGGTCCTTACTTACTTAGGCTATCCCTCATTGTCTGAGTAAGATTGTTCTCCAAGTTCGGTGTCCTGGTGGCGGGTGACTGTGGTGGGTGACTGTGGAGCCCTATTCTTGACCTGCATGTTCTCCTGCAGTGAGGGCATTGGTTTCCAGGTGGAAGATGGTCCCGGTCGGGGTTGGCTTGATGCGCCTTCCTCTTGGCACGTTTCTCTCTTTCGCCCTCCATTCATGCCTCTTCAAATTCTACAGCACTGCT